TATAAATCCTTATAAATCTTTGTATGGGGAGACCTGCCTGATGTTAGTCCCATTTATTGAGATGAGGCTATGGTCTCTAATTGATTTAATGTCAAACACCATTTCCTCAGTTTTTTCCACATTTATGTTTAGATGGTGTTCATTACACCAGTCAACAAATATGTCAATCCCGTCACAGTGGCTACTAATGCCAGAGTCACTCGTGAGCAGACCAAGGGTGGATGTTGACAACATACTGATTTGGTTGGGAGCTAACACAGTCGTTTGTAAATAGGGTGAACAGAAAAGGTGAGCTCACGCAACTCTGGGGTGCCCCCGTGCTGCTCACGACCTCATCTGACAAGACAGCGTTAAATCTCACACGCTGTGGTCTCTTGGATAAGAAGGAAAGGTACCACCTAATCAGAAATGGATTGACATTCAACTGAACCAACTTCTTCAGCAAAATGTCCGGACGGATTGAGTAAATGGCTGAGCTAAAGTCCACGAATAGCAGTCTGGCATATGCCCCCCTGTTCTCAAGATACCTCAGAAGAAAGTGCAGAATAGTAGACACGGCATCACTCGTGCGACGGTTTTTTGTGGAGGCAAATTGATATTCATCCATCGAAGCTTCCACCTCCTTGCGTAGTTTCTCGACAATGATCTTCTCTAAACCTTTCATCACATTGGAGGTTAAGGCTGCTGGTCTATAATCATTGTCAACCTGGGGGGAGGGTTTTTTAGAGACCGGAATTATCATGGATTTCTTCCAGAGCTGCAGCACTTCTGTGTCTATAGACAGCTGGAAGAGAGGGTGCCAGGCCAGTGTTAGTTCCTCAGCAAAGGTTTTTAATAAATAAGCAGACGAATTGTCTGGTCCGGTGGCTTTGTTTACGCGCAGTGATCTAAAAACCCGGGTAACACTAGCTGAGTCAATTAACACCCTGTCATTAGGATCATACTGCAGACTGCACAGCAATTCATTACACTCTTTGGAAGTGTCAACTTCAAAACGCATGTAGAAATCATTTAGCTCCCTTGCCCTCGCTTTCTCATCATGAGCCGGCAGGGGCTTCTTCCTTGTGCCCATGTTTGCGAATTGAGTCCCACAACCTCTTTGTGTTGGAATTAGACAGGGCTTGCTCTGCCCGCTCTTTGTGCTTAGACCGTGCTGTTCTTAGTAGCCGGGTGAGATCCTTCTGGGCCAACTTTAGCCCAGCGTCGTCGCCAAGCCTATGGGCTCTTTTCTTCCTCCTTAAACATTCAATAACTTCCTTCGTAATGTACGACTCATTGTTTGCATATATTTTTACAGTTTTTTGGGGGATAATGTGCATACAGAAGGAGACAGAATCTGTTATTACTTCTGCAGCCTCATGAACATGTGTGTCTTGGAAGAAGACACTCCAGTCTGTGCAGAGATAGGTTCCCTTGAGCTCCTCTACTTTGTCGTTTGACCACACAATCACCGTTTTGATTTCTGGCTTGCGACCTGTAGATGGGAAGTAGGTGTATCGCTTTATGGTCTGAGTTTCCCAGGGGAGGCAGGGCTCTTGCGGTGTAGGCATCCTTAATATTGTTATTAACCCCAAAAAACGACCATGTATACTCAGGCGTTTTTAGCTAGAAGAAAACGACCACGTCGAGAAGGTGTTTTTGGCTCAAAAAAACGACCATGTATGGTGAGCCGTTTTGAGATGAAAATACGACCATGGATACTAAGGCGTTTTTTAGCACTAAAAAACGACCATGTATCATAAGGCGTTTTTTGCCCCCCAAAAAAACGATGATCTATCGAAAGGAATTTTTAGCCCAAAAAAACGACCATATATAATGAGGTGATTTTAGCCCCAATAAACAACCATGTATAGTAAATCAGTTTTTCTCAACGAATGTATACATTCATTTCTTCCATATATAGGGATTTTTTTGAACAACCATTTCTAGTAAGTCGTTTTTGAAAGACCGTGTATCGAAAGGCGTTTTTTTTTTTTTTTGTTTGTTTGTTTCCTAAACAAGGGACTAGTTTTCAGCCGTTGTACCAAGCAATGTTCCCTCTATTTTAGCTGGGCAAAGAGACAACCTCTCTGAGCACACCGAGGACCACTGTGCACAACATCAGAAATGCTGTGGCCACACACCAGTATCACAGCTCAGATCATCGAAAGTTTCATGCCTTATTAAAAGAATCAGATTACAACAGCAACTTCCATAACTTGTTGCCAGCCAAACTTAGAAATAACATTTTGTTCACATTAAAACATTTTCCACAATGATGTGCGGTGTTTCTTGTGATACACTGTCTTTTATTAGCATTTCCACTACTCAGAAATGATCTCGCCATAATAGAATATGTTGATTAATATCCAAAAATAAAACATCTTTAATAATTTCACGCAAATATGTACAAATCTGACTTAAATATTACCAAATTTTCACCATACTTTTCATTTTGTTCTTGGGAGTCAACGTATCACATTCACTGCCCGCTCGTTTCGATTAGGATTTAGCATTAGCGTCACTTATCTCCACCGCATTGTTATTGTCATGGTGCGTGGATGAGCATAGCGCATGCGCAATTACTGCCAATGCCATGATTGACTGCATAGCACAATTTCATCGTATCGTATGATTGCCTGGACACCTGTCACTCACAGACAAAAACAGTTAGATATATGATTCATTCGCAGTGCGCTGAATAGGTGTTCTCGTGTACTGAGTGTGTGCGACCAATGTACAGTTGCGCATCTGAGCGGGAACATTGTGCAGGATCAACACATAGCAGAAACTTTTTCGCAAGCTGTAGTTTCGCTGATTTCCGGTCGGGGGACACTTCATCATCATATGGACGGCTGAGCTCGACTCGTGCTTTTTTGAAAACATATTTCTCCATCTCATCCATGATCTGTGAATGTATGACCACTGTGCCGCCCCATGGGAAAGCAACACTTGCCAAATGGCTTTGCAACCTCCTGTACAATAGGTGGCGATATGCACCAAGGAGACGTAATCTGCCAAAAACCCTCAAGAAGACAAGAAGAGGCCATACATCCCATGTTCCAGCGAAAACCAGTGGTGTTTTCAGTAATTTCAAAGTTTTTGAACCTCGATTTGCCGTTTATCTGTAAAGGTATGTCGGCACTCAATTTAGGAGCATGATTATGACACTGAGGCATTCCAGTTTGTTCATTGTTACTTGCATTGTCTCTGGAAGCCTGCTCGCAATGTTCAAACAATATCAACAAAGATGGCTGGTGAGTTTGCACGTCCACAGCAACACTCGGCTGGAGCAGACAGTGGGAATCATACCCAGGTCGCCTGAACCCAATGCACGTTCATATACCACTCAGTCATGGGAATATGCCGCGACGTCATTTTTAAAATCGCATTTGTTTTTATGAATAAATGGACTTTGCGATGAGTATAGCACATTTAGTGAAGTGAAGCTCTAATTTTATAAAACAGGATTGATCTATTTTCACAAGCATGAAGGGACAACTTAAGAGTGGGCAATTTGACTGCCACGCATGTTTTTGGAATGTTGGCGGGGACCCACACAGGGATGGGGAGAACATGCAAACTCCCCACCAGAGCCGGAATTGAACCCTACACCTTTGCATTGTGAAGCCAAGGCACTCACCAGACGACTTGCCAAGCCGCCCTCATACAAGACAGATAAAATGCTGTTTTCATTCCCTTTTATTCGCTCATGGCAAATCTGCTGCAAGAAGCGTATGGAATCCCACAACTATTTCAACCAGTCTAAAAGACTCCCTCACAAACATGAACACACATTGACAGAATTTCTGGGAAGCCGGTATGCCATTTTCGATTTTGTGCTCAGCTCCAAGTCATCGCTTATTTAAACGACTGCTTTGGTGCCCTCTTTTGCCCAAAGCAGATATATTGAGGAGGGCTCGATAAGATTTTCTCATAGGGGGGGAAAAAAATGCTTCATCGCCCTCTTGTGGCATGTAGAAACACAACGCAAGACAAAACTTTTTCCGATTAAAAAAAAAAACACACAACAAAATTCCACATCAGTCAGATCAGATCACAACATGAGGTATATTTGTTCACTCACCAATAGGTGTCAAATTATTGCAATACCTGGTAAAATGCAAAAAAAGATAATAATAATAACCCTGCAGTCATGACTTACCATCCAACAACAGAAAACGCCCAGTCAGCAAAGGCGTCTGGCCCGGATTCGGCATGAAGCTGGCACAGCTGTCCTTGTGTCGGCTCTGGCATAATGCATGTGGGCCGAACACGGCCCAGGCGTGGCAAAGGAGGCACTGGCTTGACTCTGGCAAACCAGATGAGGGCCAGTTGTGGAGTGAAATATTTGGGCCAGAAATCAATTTACAACTCCGGCCCGTATATGGCCAGCCCTTGTTTTACAATTGCACACCGATGCGGAATTCCATTCATCACACACACACACACACACGCACACACACACACACACACACACACACACACACACACACACACACACACACACACACATTTGCACACGCACGCGCACAAATTAAACGTGGTCAAGTAAGATTATGTTGATGTCGACTGGCGTCAGCGAAAGAAGGTACATGTACAAGTTTTGAATTTTCGTGTTTTTTGTTTTTTTTCTCGTACGTACAGTACTTTAATGTACAACAGTCAAGTATTGCAAAACTCCGATACAGTAGGTGGTGATGCACCGCAAACGTTAGCTGCCACTCGCCAATTAAGAAGAAGAACAACAACAAGAACAAGAACAAGAAGCAAGAAGAACAGCGCTGGCAGCCTTGTGTGGTGGGATGCCTCCGAGTAGCGCGAGTGGGGAACATCGGCTCTTGGGCCCCTGACGCGGTTAAATGCCCACCAGCCGGCGGGAAAGGAGATGGGGTCTCACCGGAAGGTGAGGCGACCAGTGCTCGCCCCGCCGGAACGGAGGGGAGTTGGAGTAGCCGGC